CGGTGAGCGGTGTGAGCAGTGCGCCAGCCTCTCTCTCCCATTCTTTTTTATTCCTCATCCGCTTTCTTAGTTTGGCTCGCGTCGCCGTCGGTGCCGTCGTCGTCGTCGCCGCCGCCGCCGTCTCCGCTTTGTGCCTTTGGCACGCTTTGCGCGCGCGCGCTCCCACAAAGATGACGAAGAGGAGGACGAAGAGGAGGACGAAGAGGAGGACGAAGAGGAGGACGAAGAGGAGGAGCAGGAGGACGAGGAGGAGGATTACAAGGGGGAGGAGGAGGACAAGGAGGAGAAGGAGGAGGACGACGACGGAGAGGCAGACGAGGAGGATGAGGATGAGGTGGAGCACAAGGAGGAGAATGAGAAGGAGGACGCTGAAGTTGTTGGTCTTGACGTGGGTTCGGCGCCGGGTGAGTCAGGCGCCAGGTGAGGTAGGCGCCTGCTGAGTCAGGCTCCGGGTGAGTTAAGCTCGGGGAGACGTAAGACCCGGGTACGGGGGACTCGGAAATCCCCGACGAGGTCGTCAAAAAAATGACGAGGCCGAGCCTGCATTTTGACGAGGCCTCCCGCTGCAGACATCCCACGAAACTCCTCCTCGTCAAAATCCGAGGCGCGGTCGTCAAAAAACGATGGCGAACCCGAGTCCTGGCAAACCCGGGTCTTACGCTCCCCCGATAAGCGCCCAGTGACTTAGGCACCGGGAGAGTGAGGCGCCGGGTGAGTTAGGCACCTTGGTGAGTCAGGCGCCGGATGAGGTCAGGCGCTTGGTGAGCGCCGGGCGAGCGAGGGCTGGGTGAGCGAAGCGCCGGGTGAGTGCGGCGCGCGCAGGGTGAGTGAGGTGCTGGGTGAGTTGGGCACCGGATGAATGAAGCACGGGTTAAGTGAGGCACCGGGTGAGTTAGGCTCTGGGTGAGTTAGGCACTGGGTGAGTTAGGCTCCGGGTGAAATAGCGACCGGATGAGTCAGCGACTGGGTGAGTCAACGACCGGGTGAGTTAGCGATCGGGTGAGTTAATAGTCAACGGGTGGGTTAGGCACCCGGCGAGTTAGGCACCGGGTGAGTTATGCGCCGGGTGAGTTAGGCAGCGGATGAATTTGTCACTGGGTGGTATGAACTCAGGGTGGTTTGGGCACTGGATGAATTCAGCGCCAGGTGAGTTAAGCACTGGATGAGTAGGCGCTGGATGAGTTAAGGCTGGGTGAGTTAAACACTGGGTAGTGAGTTAGGCGCCGGGTGAATTAGTCTGGGTGAGTCAAAGATCGGGTGAAATAGACCTGGTGAGTTAAGGACCAGGCGAGCTAGACCAGGTGAGTTAAAGGCTGGGTTAGTTAGGCGCGGGTGGGTAAATGGTCGGGTGAGTTAAAGTTCCGGATGAGTCAAGGATCGGGTGAACTAGCCCAGTCTCCTCCTCCACGTGGAAGCGCAGGTTCTCCAATAGGATGATGCTCCCCTCCTCGGGGTCCGCACACGCCTTCTCCACCTCCTCGCCGCAGCAGTCCGGAAGGAACTTCACCGGCTTCTTCGCGATCTCCTCGAGGGCCTTCGCCACGGGAGCCATCGAGTACTTGTCCACCTTGCAGCCATCGGGGCGGCCCAGGTGCGAACAAAGGATCACAGCCTTAGCCTTCTTCTTCAAACAATAATTGATCGTCGGCATAGCGCCGTCGATACGCTGGGTGTTCGTGATCTTGCTGGGATCGGCCTTGTCCTGGGGGACATTGAAGTCCACGCGGATGAGGACACGCTTCCCGGCCAGGTCCACGTCCTTGATGGTCATTTTGCCCGCCATGTTGGCTCGAAGCGTCGGGTGCGCTAGGATTGCAACTGCGAGGTCACTGAGGATCCTGCTGGCAAGACCAGGAGTTGAGCCAGACTCCGACCTTATCCATACGGCCCCGACATACCCATCAAGACAGCCCTGGACGGAAAAGCCAACTAGAATGTCTCGATGCGGGCCCGAAGCTGCTCCGCGTCACCTCCAAGACGGATTGGGAAAACCTTGAGAAAACCTTGATGCTTTCCGGCGTGGACCCGAAGCAATGGGTTTTGTACTTTCGATGCGCACCCTATGTTGTGCAAGCTGTAGGGAGCAATCCATGCGGTGCCCTATATCTGGTGAACTATCTGTAGTGGCACATATGTGTGTGGCGAAATCTACGTGGAACAGTCCACCCTGCAGAACTTGAGGTCGTCAACTCCAGCGCTCGCGCAGTCACCCCGACCTCCCGCCTGCAGCTTGCTTGCCCCAACCCATGCGGCCGCGATGGCGGTGACTACTTGGCACTGGCTGACGCATCTCTGCGGCTGCGCTAGCGGCGCAAACTCGCGCGCACAGCGGCCAGCTGGCTTGGAGACAACCGAGGCAGCCGCGATGGCCATTACCGATGGGAACTTCTTCCCAGTGCGTCTCAAAGGCAGCGCCGGCGCGCGGGCACACTCGCGCGGGTCGGTGACTCGAGCGGGCGCAGCATCATCACAACGGCGACGGCGGCGGCAACGATTATGCTAGGAGCGATGGTGGTGGCTACGATGGCGATCACAAAGACAAGGCGAACAATGACGCCGATGCTGGTCACGACGAAATCGATGATGATGATGATGATGATGATGTTGATGATGATGATAATAATGATGATGATGCTGATGATGATGATGATGATGCTGCTGCTGCTGCTGCTGCTAATGATGATGATCTCCATGTGTCTGTGAAGGTGATTGACTGATGACGGCGGCAGTGGCAGCGGTTGACGACTACGATAACAGCAATGGTGCGGTGGCGCTGATGAGGTTGATGGCGAGGAAGCGCGCGCGCAGGATTGCAAAGAACCTGGCAAGCTGCGGGTTGAACGATATATTTATTGTTTCAAATTCCCCAATCAGAGCTTGCACTGAAGGGGTTTGAGCGGAAACTGAAAGATTCGCCGAACATTTCCCGCTGATTTGGGTGGCCGGCTGGGTTCCGGGGTTCCTGGTTATTGGTTCCGGGTTGCGATTTCGGTGGGTTCCGGGTTCCCGGGTTCCCGAACGATCTTCTTATCGATCTCTTTATCGATCCCATTTCAGACCATCCACCGATTGGGGTTTCTCTCTGGTGTGATGTGTTGTTTCACATGTGTTCGAACAGCTGCATCGTGAAGTGCGTCGAAGACCACTGGCCTGGGAGGGACTCCGACACGTGCACGTTTGGCGGCGCGCGCGTGGCCCGCATGGTTCCCCACCCAGTGCTTGCACTGCTGGGGTCCTTGCGGAGATGGAATTGCAGGATTTGGCGAAAATTCCGCGCCGCTTTCGGTCGGCGGCCGGGTTCCCGGGTTCCCAGACATGGTAGATCTGTTCAACCTTTCCCTAGTATGTTCGATGTTTTCCTACATGTTTTCCTACATGTTTTCCTACATGTTCACGGGCATCGGCGTGAATCTCCGATGTCCTAAGACAGGGCTCTTGTCATTTCTCAGACGTCTCCAGACCTCCTCCCCGGTTCCTGGTTCCCGGGTTCCCGGTTCTGGGTTCCGGGCGAACTTCGGTGGGCGGCGGAGTTCCCGGGATCCCGGGTTCCTTCCTGGTCGATCTTCTTATCGATCGGTCTCACCATCGATCTCATTACCCACCTCTCTATCGATCCCACTATCGATCTTCACTATCGATCTCGCAATCGATCTCACTATAGATCGCACGAGCGATCTCACGATCGATCTCACGATCGATCTCATTGAATCGACTTCACTATCGTTCTCACGAACGACCTTACAATCGTCCTCACGATCGACTCCACAATCGATCTCACAATCGATCTCAATATCCAGGTCACAAGTTTCCAAACCATCCACTGATTGAGTTTCTCTGGTGTAGTATTATTTGGTAAGGATTCGTGCACTGGGCGCGTGCTAGACCAATGAGAATGCACTGCGTGGTGAGATGAGGATGCGGGTTCTGGACGGTATTGTTAGATTCATACATATTCATACGGTTTTGAGGATTCCAGCAAATGCGCGCACAACCTCTGCGCAAGAGTTTTGACACAACAACTCCTAAGGATGCTTGATGATTTTATGTTGGCATGCTTGCAACATCAGTGTGTTTCGTGTGATTTCGACTTGTCCACGCGTATGGACATGTGAAATGTTCCGCTAGGAGTTATATTGAACACATATCTTTTGAGATAAACGAATGCGACTTTTTGACAGGGATGAGGGGGGGTAAATACCCAGTGGGGCTGAGATTGTATGAGCTAAGATGGCCAATGGACGATGAGACAGAAGCATACGGCGGATTCCTGAAAACCTGAAGCCCCACAAATTGTCATCTCTTGGGAGGTCGACTTCTGTTCCCGCCGCGTTCCGCCGAGCTTCCGCCGGCTTCCGCCGGCGGAGGCGGCCTCGCTTACACTCCCGCCGACCTTCCGCCCTCCTCCAGGCGCCTTTCCCGCCGAGGACGAGGCGACAAAACTCCTCCGACCCTCGCAGGCAAGGCCCTCTCTGGAACGCCTCCAGGTGGTAGTTGTGCTGTCCTGGGGTGTGCCGAGAACCCCCGGGAGCGGGGGGGCGGGGAGGCCTCACCCCCGCCCTGACTCCGGATCCGCCCCACTTTGGGGAAACTCGTAAGTAGGGCTTGGAATTTCCGCCTTGCTTTTCAAGCCCCGCTGATGCCAATTTCCGCCCTACTTTCCTGTGGCTGTTTGTCGAATTTGTTGGGCACGTCGGGAATGCCCTGAAGCGGCAATCGTCCGTCGTTCTCTGAGGCCAGGTCCTTCCGTGCCGTCTAGTCCCAGCAGTGTTGCCACTGATTTCAAAGCCAGGTTGTCTTGGCACGCAGGTCGTCGGGAGCCATTCACAGGCTCTGTGGTCGCTGGAAAAACCCTCCTCCTCCGCCTCCTCCTCCTCCCCGTCCTCCTCGTCCTCCTCGTCCTCGTCCTCGTCGTCGTCGTCGTCGTCCTCCTCCTCCTCCTCCTCCTCCTCCTCCTCCTCCTCCTCCTCCTCCTCCCTCTCCAACCCTGGCGCGCTCGGCTTTGTCCCCCCCCCTTCGCCCGCGAGCGCGCAGTCAGGTGCCCGGCGCGGGCCGCGCGGCGCATCGCGGCGCGCCCTCTGGCCCTGCACGCGCGAGGAGTGGCCACCTGGCGCAGAGTGGCCGCCGGTGCCTGCCGAAGTGCTGTCCTCGCCCCTCGCCCTCGCCCTCGTCGCCCTCGTCGTCGTCGTCGTCGTCGCCGACGTCGTCGTCCTCGTCCTCGTCGTCGTCCTCGTCCTCGTCCTCATCGTCGTCCCTCGAGGGTCGCAGCGGCCCCCACGCCAAGACGCTGCCAGCCAGACCTCTGATGATTCGGCGTGGGGGGCACGAGGAGCGGATAGTACGTTCCGCCTCCGCCTCCTCCTCCTCCTCCTCCTCCTCCTCCTCCTCCTCCTCCTCTCCTCCTCCTCTCTGCTCCTCCTCCTCCTCGTCCTCGTCCTCCTCCTCCTCCTCCTCCTCCTCCTCTCCTCCTCCTCCTCCTCCTCTCTCCTCCTCCTCGTCCTCGTCCCTCTCCTCCGTCCTCCTCCTCCTCCTCCTCCTCCTCCTCGTCCTCGTCCTCCTCGCTCCTCGTCTCGCCTCGTCCTCGTCCTCGTCCTCTCGTCCTCCTCCGCCTCCTCCTCCTCTCCTCCTCCTCCTCCTCCGCGCGCGCGGTCGGGGCCATGCCAGCTCCTACACCTCCCAACTCCTACTCCTACTCCTACTCCTTTTCCCCCTGCTCTTTCTCCTCCTCCTCCTCCTCCTCCTCCTCCTCCTCCTCCTCCTCCTCCTCCTCCTCCTCCTCCTCCTCCTCCTCCTCCTCCTCCTCCTCCTCCTCTCTCCTCCCCCTCGCCCCCCCTTCCGCCCTTCCCTCCCCTCGCCCTCTTCGCCCTCCCCGTTCGGGCGGCCCTGGAAGGGCCAAAGGTCGTGCCGTGTTCGGGCGCTCCCGGCCCTCGTCGGGGCCCCCGCGGACCTCTGGGGGCCACGACCCCGGGCTGGAGCGCAACCTGCCGCCGGCGCATCGCTTCGCACACCGCGCCGCGAGGCGCGAAATTACCTTCGCGCCCTCGTGCCCCGACGCCGCCCCCATGGAGAAAGGCAGCTGGCATGGCGACAGCAGCGGCCTGCGCGCTCGGGCCTGCCTTCCCGACTTCCCCGGGAAGGAGGAGGAGCCTAGGAGGAGGAGGAGGAGGAGGAGGAGGAGGAGGAGGAGGAGGAGGAGGAGGAGGAGGAGGAGGAGGGAGGAGGGGGAGGAGGAGGCGGCGGCGGCGGCGGCGGCGGCGGCGGAGGAGGAGGTGGGGGGAGGGGAGGAGGAGGAGAGGGAGGAGGGGGGGAGAGGGAGGAGATTATAAAAGCAGGGGAAAAGGAGCAGGAGTAGGAGTAGGAGTTAGGAGGTGTAGGAGCTGGCATGGCCCCGACCGCGGCGCGCGATCATCTTCGCGCCCCTGGGGGTTGCACAGGGAGCGCGGCCTGCGGGACGCTGCCTCGGCTGCGAAGGCAGCGGCCCGCGCCCTCGGGCCTGCCCCCCCCCCCCCCTTCCCGAGAAGGCGGAGGAGCAGGAGGATGGGGGGGCGGAGAGGAGGGAAGGAGGAGAGGAGGCGGAGGGGAGGAGGAGGAGGAGGAGGAGGAGGAGGAGGAGGAGGAGGAGGGGGAGGGGGAGGAGGTGGGTGGGGAGGTGGAAGGAGAGGAGGAGGAGGAGGAGTAGGAGGAGAGGAGGAGGAGGAGAGGAGGAGGAGGAGGAGGAGGAGGAGGAGGAGGAGGAGGAGGAGGAGGAGGAGGAGGAGGAGGAGGAGAGGAGGAGGAGGATGAGGAGGAGGAGGAGGAGGAGGGAAGGAGGAGGAGGAGGAGGAGGAGGGGGAGAAGGGGTAGGAGTATGAGTAGGAGAAGGAGTAGGAGGAGTGGGAGTATGATGCGCCGGGCGCGCCGGGCGTGTCCTGATCCGGAGCCCTCGCTCGAGACATCTTCGCAAAACCGCCCCACGGGCACCCAGCGCGCCCCAACCATGTCCAGTGAGGCGCCAGGCGCGCCAGGCGCGCCCAGCGTGTCCCCATCCGGCGCCCTCGCTCGAGACATCCTCGCCGAATCGCCCTACGAACCCCCTGCGCACTCCCAGGGACAATTTCCGGCGATGCGCCAGGTGCGCTGGGTGCGGTAGGATTCTTCTAACTGTATACAGTATCCCCGCTCGAGCGGCGACGCAGTCGCCGAATGCTTCTGCGCTGCGGGCTCTCGAAGCGCAATCCCAAGAAACTCGGGACCTTGTTCTTACACCGCAGATGTGAACGTTGTGTCGAGCAAATGTGTAACGCCTGAGGCTACCCCCCACGGTCGGGGGCATTGACAGTTTGGGAGGTCTGCGAACTGTTTGGACACAGTCCAAGCGTGCCCAGGATGGGTCGCAGAGCTGTACTTCGAGATCTTAGTGATGTTGTCATTGATCATGTACTGGCTGTGCACCTTCTCGGTCAGTGGTCATGGCAGATGGGCGGATGCTACGACGGGCCCTGGAGTAACGCTTCCTGTCGCAATGAACGGGAAAAGGTGCACGAAGGCGATGATGATGTTCAAGGCGATGTAGAGCGGGCTGTAGAGCGGCATGTGGAGCAGCACGACGTGTTCCTGCGGATGGGCTGGTCCAGCCTTGACGTACCCATGAGTGACGTATCCTGCAGGCGACGCGATGTAGATCGACGGAGGGTGGGAACCATGGCCATCGAGGCGAAGCGGGACATGGCGGCCGTGGTATTGAAGCAGGGGGGAACCTGCCCCGCTATCAACTAGAACTGAAGATGTCAAAGGACAATGTTGAACTATGAGATCAGTATGTAAAGCGATGTAGAGCGGGTTGTGTATCAAACGACGTAGAGCGAGCGCGGTGAAGGATCCTTGATAACCAATACGGCTGCGGCCAGGACAGAGCGAGAAGCAGGCGGGGAAGGAGGACCTACATACCGTTCGAGTAGGAGGAGGAGGAGGAGGAGGAGGAGGAGGAGGAGGAGGAGTATCTGGAGTATCTGCCTGATCGCGTAGCGATGTATTGGAAAGAAAATTCCGCTGCACCTACTGTAGGTGCTTACTCCTCTGAGCTTGCTCAGCTTTACTGAGAACCTTAGGCCAGAGACCTGAATTGATACGTCTAAGATACTCGCGCCCAGTGGCCGAGGGGGGTTGACATATCGTTGCTAGCTTCCCAATCTGCTGGGAGACGTAGCTCCCGCATGTGGAGCAGAACCAAATCCCCAGCCCAGCGTGGAACCTCGGATGATGGGTTAAATGAATCCACCCCCCTGCTACATGAACCTGCTTGCCCAGGGGGGGTCTCATATAAGTGCCATCGACATTTTCCAGATTGAAACACTCTGAATCATACCATTCAACACGGGTGCTAGCTGTGGCTGACCCCTTACATATATTACATTGTCTACCAGTGTCATCTAATTGGCGATGGGACCTGAAAACAGCACACAGGGAGGGGGCGGGAGGGCGGACAGGCTGAGCTTTCACTCTCCTAGGCTGTCGGCTTCCCGCTGGCAACTCACGAATCTGAGCCTTCTCGAACTCTAGGGCCTCTAAGGTGGATCTCAGGAGCCTCATGCGGACGAGGCAGGCGTCATTCTCGATACCCTGAATCTGCTGTCGAAGGTGCTTTTCCACACGGTGGCTGTCCGCTGCAACTGCTGCGAACTCGTCGGCGACAGTGTTGCCATATGCAAAGGACGCATTGGCACGGCCTAGGGCGACGTCCTCGCCCGTAGCATGAGAGTTGGTGAAAAGAACAACGAAATCGCCTGATCTCCTGGCTCGCTCGACGCCCACCTGGTGCCACAGGTCTGCATCAGGTCCGACTGGCGAGCTCGGATGTCCATTATAATAATTGAGGTAGACACCCTCGCAATCAGTGATGAAAACGACGTCTAACTCCGAAACCTGCATGGCGAGGAGAAGGGCTAGCAGCTCGCCTCGGACGACTGTCTGCCTGTCCCCTGGGAGAGGCCCCCACATCGCCGTCTGCAGTTGCATATCGTTGATCCTGAGGCTGGGGAAAGCTGCGATGCCTATGCCCACGCGCCTGAGGACTGGGGAGGCTGTGTCACCTCCTCCGCTGGCGTCCCCGAAAATGTACATGACTGAGCTGGTGCGATTGGTCTCGAAGCACTGCGGTGAGAACTTCTCGATGCCATGGGCGGTCCAGTCGTATGTGCTGGCTGGCGGTGGGACCTGTGTCCACGCTTGAGGCAACAGGCCCCTTGTCCAGTAGCACTCGTACATGTCCTGCTGAGCTGAGGCTTGCGCAATCATGTGATCCGTGGAGTCGTACACGGGGCACTTCTGGTTGGCAGCGCATTCCCAGGTGCGATGGAACGGCGTCTCCCTGGCGGCCTGGCAGCGCGGGCACTTGCCGTCGGTGATGGCGCTGGTCTGCTCCAGCACTCTGACCTTCGGCCACGTAGCGCCCACTGCTATGGTGAGCATCATGGTTGAGAGTCGCCGTCCGTGCTTCATCTTACTGAGGTACTGGAGTAACTTGCGATATGATCGGTTGTCGATCCCTCTCTCCATCCCAGACCCACCGGCCCAGAGCTTGGCCTGTGCGCTGCGGTCGATGTCCTGGAGCAGTGTGTCTGGGATGTCCACGTGAGGGTTACCTGTGAGCTGCTGGCGATCGAACTCCCAGGTGTCTTGTCCTCGGCTGTCGACTATGGTCGGCGGGAGGATCCACTCCTGCGGTCCCTTCGGCGTCCAGCCGAGCTCCAGGAGGTGCATGATGACGGTGGACTGCGGCCCCTTGATGTGGCGAACCCGCTGTCCGACAGGTAAAGATTGAAAGTGCCTGAGTACTGTATCCCAGGTGTGACGGATGGCCCTCTCCATAGGCCCCGCCTGGATCCATGTCGTGAGCCACTGCTGGATGGTCTCGCGAGGAAACTTGCGTGCTGGGTCGGAGGGGCCTGCCTTGAGGTCCAGCAACGTTGTGAGGCATCGTCCCTGAAGGCGAGGGCCCAACGAGTCTCGCAGCCTCCTCCTGAAGAGTGTCAGCAGTGTGCCGAAAACTCCGTGGATTTGATGTGCGTAGCTGCCTCCAGCCTGTGCCCCCTGGAGGGCCAGTCTCCCTGTGACGTGGTAGCGTCGGGAGGCGCGGGCGAGGCGAAGGATCTTCTTGTGCTGCAGGCCGTGCTTGGCGCGGCGCTGCGTCCTGGCGCTGCGGGCTGCCCGTGCGCCTGCCCCCAGGTCGGTGCCGAGGTAGGCCGCTTGGGCCTCGGGCACCACCTTGAAGCCTTGGCGAGCCAGACGGCGCGCGATGTGCCTCGAGTCGTCCATGCTGGAGCAGAGGATCACACTCTTCTTGGCGATGCTGAGTCCGCGATCTTGGAGTCCGCAGCAGGTGTCCAGCAAGCATTTGAAACTGTCCCGCCTGATAGCCTCTCGAGACCCCTGCATGCGCTGGGATAGGTCGTCGACCCAGATGCGGTGGGGGCATCTGGCGTGGACCTGAGTCACTCTCCGAATCGCCTTGTAGGTGATGACCTTAGCGAATCGGGTGCCTGATCTAAGTCCTTGAACCACTGATCGAGTTGGTTGGAAGGGTAAAGTGTAACTGCCGCTCTGGGTGAGAACTCTGGGCGCGATGCATTGGAGGAGTTCGAGGCCCAGGACCTCCGCTGGGAAGTCCAACTCGAGGGCCTGCTCCCCGAGGTCGCACCAGCTGATAGAATCGTAAAATTGTGAAATGTCCAGTAGTCCATGGCCCTGGGGTGCCCCTGCATAGGCGCTGAGCTCCTCCTGTAGGGCCCGTTCATAGGCCTCCCGCAGGGCTGAATTCCCCCTGATCGCTGCGTCCCAGTGTGCGTGGCATTCGCGGTTCCATGAACGAACTGCGTCCTCACGGCACATGGGCCAGCAGCAGGCGATTTCGGGTAGTAATCCAATGATGCGGTCTCCATTGTCCTTCTTGGCCCTCATGACTCCTATGGTCATGAGGAGTTGGTGCGGCCACATCTGTAACTGCTCCATGATGTTGAAAAGACTGGCGAGTTCCTCCAGTGCCTCCTGTGGGAGGCGTAGGAGGTCCAGAGGGCTGAGGCGATCTGCTCCTAACCCTGTGCGTGCTCGCTGTCGTCGTAGGGCATGGCGTACGTCCTCTCCCGAGAGTGGTGGGAGACTCTGAACTTGAATCTTGTCGACGATGTGTTGGTAGAGGTCGGGGAGCCCTCCTAGTGCCTGTCCTGTTGGTGCCCATAGCTGGTGCCAGCAGGTGACCTTGTGGTCAAGCAAGTCCATGGGGTGCACTAGGGTATGGCTGCCCACCGTTGTCGACTCAGCTGGTTGTGGCTGTGGCTTGAGCGATCGATGTAGTGTGCTCAAGGCTGGGGCGGTGGTTGCCCACTCGCGGAATGCGAAAAGAGACTTGCCAACTGCTCGCCGTTGGGCGCGTCGGGCAGGGAAACCAGCTGCTGCTGCGTAGTCGACGACCTCCTCGACGGGGGGGGTGCGGATGTGGCTGAGCATGTCCTGCCACTTCGGCCATGGGAAGTCGTCCTTGGGTTTGATGATGCCTGCTGCCCCTGCGGGGGCTTCTTGTGACAGACGGTCCACTGCTTCGTGAAGCTGCTGTAGCTGACGCAGGCCGTTGCCACGTGCACGGTGACGGTAGCTGTGCTGCAGCGTGGTGTGCAGTCTGGTCCACCATGAGCTGCTCGAATCCCTGAGTGCGGTAGCCCGTCTCGTCTGGGCCTCCCGCGCCGTCACGACATGAAACTCGGGCCCCTGAGATCTGGAGCGGCCGAGGTGGTCCTGCTGATGGTGGCTGTGGATGGTAGCCTCGACCGTGGTGACCCACGATCCGTAGAGCTGACCGAGGGTGAGTGCGGTATCAGGTTTGAGCGAAAAGGCTA